CTCATTTCTCATTTCTCAGGACTCAGCTCGGATCTCTAGGAGACCTTCTGCAATACACCTAGGGTAGGCGCCTGTCCCCTATTCCCCCTCTTCCACAGCACTGGCCACACCCCATGCCATCATCAGTCTCAGGGTTGGTGTTCTCTACAAGAGAGTGAGCTCTCTGAGGGCAGCTCATATCTTGAGATTCATATCTCCAGCCTGAGAGCCCAGCATTGCCCGGTACCAAGTGGACACTCAATGAATGTCTGCTGAGCCAATGAATGAGCAAAGGAAGATAAATTAGATTTGGTCTGATAACACTGATTCTTTATCCAAGACTTCATAGTTGACTTTAGCTCTTGACTTTCACCGGAGAAAAGCTAAAAATTACATCATCCAAAGAAGGATTTTTGTCCTACACTCTACAAAAGCAAGGCTTTCACAACTTCTGGCAGCTGCCAGCATTGCATCTTATTTAGTTTTTCAATTTTGAGCTGTCAGCAAGAAAATACTGATTATTGAAGATCATATCTGCCTGTGTCTGCCATCAATTATTAGTTTCAATCAAAATAATTTTGCTCTACACAGCAGTTCAGAACAAGCTCCTTATTTTCACTTTCAGTTTGAAAATCAGAAACGTCCGTTTTTAGAACAATTTTTATCAGCCTTGTCCCCCCCTCGCCCCCCCGTGGTGGGTACTGGTTACTGGATCTGATTGGCAGAGAATAAGCATTACGTTCCAAGTCACTGTCACCTCTTCTTTCAAAATTAAAACTCCCTTCCTCATGCTCCTCTCCCCTCTTCTTTGTGTAGCTGCCAGCAGTCTCTCCTTTCCCACCTCTCTTCATGACCTCTGCATTTATTAGACAGCTCCCATCTCAGACATACAATGAAGAAAATTCTTTAAAAGGGACATTTTTCATACACTACTTGGAGACAGTCAGTTACAACAGAGAGCTGTGAAACATTACACAAGAAAAGAAATTTGCTCAAGGTCATTGAGAGAAAACGCAGCAGAGCTGGATTCCTCCCAGATCGGATTCCAAGGCTGACTGCAGGGCAATGTAAGCCCTTTGCACTCACTGTTTTACAGTGAAAACCTCACATAACATGCTGGTCTCTGTAACTGAACAATGGCACATTCAGGATGCTTCCCTCGGCCGGTAAATAAAACATTTTATTAAGATAAAGCTGGTACCCTGTCTTAGGAAAATCAGACTAGAAAAAGACTTTTTTAAAAAAAGCAGCAGTTCTCTGCCCCACCCTTCCTCCCAGTCCCATGCTCCAAAGAGAACCTTTTTTGTGTGTATGTGGCAAAATAGACATAAATAAAATTTACCGTTTTTACCATTTTTAAGTGTACAGTTCAGTAGCATTAAGTATCTTCACAATATTGTGCAACAATCACCACCCTCCATCTCCAGAACTTTTTCACCTTCCCAAACCGAAACTCTGTACCCAAACAAAAACAACTGCCAGTTCCCCTTCCCCCCAGCCCCTGGCAAACGCAATTCTACTTCCTGTCTCTAAGAATTTGACTACTCTAGGAACCTCAAATAAGTAGAATCATGCAGTATTTGTCCTTTTGTGTCTGGTTTATTTCACTACACATAATGTCTTCAAGGTCCATCCCTGTTGTTGCATGTGTCAGAATTTCCTTCTTTTATAAGGCTGAATAATATCCTATTGTATATGTAGAAATATACCACATTTTACTTATCCATTCATCCATCAATGGATATCTGGGTTGTTTCTGCCTTTTGGCTGTTGTGAATAACGCTGCTATGAACACTGGGGTATAAATGTCTGTTCAAGGCCCTACTTTGAATTCTTCGGGGTACATACCCAGAAGTGGAATTGCTGAAATCATGTGGTAATTCTGTTTTTAATTTTTTTGAGGAACTGCCATACCGTTTTCCACAGTGGCTGTACCATTTTACATTCCAGTCAGCAATGCATCTTAGTTCCAATTTCTCCACATCCTTGCCAACAGTTGTTGTTTTCCGTTTTTTTGACAGTAACCATCCTAAGAGGTATGAAGTGGTATCTCATTGTGGTTTGCTTTGCATTTCCCTAATGACTAGCTATGTTGAGCATCTTTTCATGTGCTCATTGGCCATTCGCATATCTTCTTTGGAGAAATGTCTATTCAAGTCCAAAGCAAACCATTTTGAACTATTTTAACCATTTCTGTTTTATCTTCTTCTGTTATTTACCTCTAAACAATATACTTATTCATTGATTTGATTTTTTCTTGATTTTCTGTTTGATAGGTAAGGATTTGCACGCCCATCTCTTCTCCTCAAGTCCTCCTAATATAGTTTATTTTTATTTTTGTACATACACTCGTTGCTTTGTAACTTTAAATAACATACTCCTTTATTTCATGTTCCATCGTTGGTAGACAGGATCTCTTGACATCTCAATTTATAAGGTAAGAATATCTGCCTCCACTCCCCATCTCTTGCCTTCAACTACTGTCAGGTGTGACTTCCAACGTTCATAGTATTTACATTCTGTTCCCTACTTGCGATTAAGTCTTCTGGACTTTATTCATAGGTTGATGCTAAGAATTAAAAAAATCAATAAATGGTGTTTATATTTTAAGCCCATTTTTGAAGCAGAGAAGGGAAAGATATTGGCAAAAGGGAAGGACAAAGGGCTTTCTCAGGGTAGCCAATAGCATAAGCAAAAATCACAGGGACCACGTGCAGCACACAGCTCACGTGCTGAGCTCGGGCAGAAAGCACCCGGGGGAGCAGTGAGGAACTGAGCTGGCTGAAGGCAAAGGGAGGAAAGTTGCAGGCCCCAGATGGCCAATGTGTCCTGCTCCCTCTCCCTCAAAGCGGCCCCCAAGAATTCTGGTCAACATGATCTGCTACCCTGACTCAGGGACTCCCACCTGAGGTGTCTTCACTCCACTTTCTCGCAGCCCCCCTCCCCCTTCACAGAACCAGTGCCTACCAGGCCTTTGAAGGCTTTGTAGAGATGAAAAACAATTCCTCCTCCTAAAAATGGTTTGCAATACCTAACACAGAGGAAGGTCTCAGAGTGTAGACACAGGAGGAAGGAGAGGATGGAGAAAGAAACAATCACTGAAGGCTGGCCGAGTACCAGTTCTGTGCCACTGGACTCAATCCTCACCCCAACCCTCTGCATAAGGCTGGTATTATTATCCCCATTTTAAAGATGACGACTGAGGCTGGAGAGGCCTTGCCCAAAGCCACAGAGTATGGGCAGAGCCTTGGCCTGTGTTCGCTGTGCCCACCTTGACCTTGGGCGAGTAACTGAAACTCTCTAGGTCTCAGTTTCTTCATCCATAAAAACTGAGACACATTCCAAGGCATGCCCATCCCTTGCAGGGGGATTGTGAGGGCCAGAGACAGTGTCCTTGAAGAGCCTGACGTGGGAGATCATCCTGAAACTGGAGGCTGTGATTTCACGCCTGTGTGTCTGGGAAGTCAGGAAAGCCCCAAGTGTGGAGAGCCGAGGCTGGAACAAAATCCAAGGAGCAACTCGTCCCTCTCTTCTTCTAGGACTGACCTTCAAACTAGCACGTTATGTGGAGGGGCCCGTATCAATCTCCACCCCTCACTTCACAGGCCCAGAGAGGGGCAACGATTTACCCAGGGTTACCCAGCAAGGTGGTGGCAGAGCCTGCCAGGCAGGGCTGATACCTTGGACTTGGATATACCCCAGCGCCCCACATTCCTGGGCTAGGCTCGCAGAGTCAGTGAGTTAGTCTAACTCGGAAGGCATGCCCTCGCGAGCCCAGCTCCTCATAATCTCTCTGCTCCTTTGTCTTCTTTCTTGCCCTATCAGCACACAATTTGAAGTGTGGAAAGCCTCCCCAGGAGCCAGGGTTTCAGGGTGATCCGAACTCACTCTTAGGATCATAAAGAGGAGCAGCAGAGTCTCCTCATGACCTCAATTGAGCCCGAGTTCCCAGATAAAGGCAAAGTTCTTCTCAGGCCAGGCCCCACCCTTAGCCACCCCTTCTACCTAGCCCAGCCTACATCACCACCTCTGGGTCAGGAGAGGTGAGCTGCCAGGGCCTATCCCCCATTGGTCTCCCCCTCCTCCTCTGGACAAAGGGTCAAGACTAGAGTGAGACCATGTGATCTGGCACATGTGCCCAGTGCCACCTTTTCCTGCCAGGACCAGAGATGGGCAGTCAGTCATCCTGCAGCTCTGCCCAGGTCTTAGCACCTTAGGGACCATAAGGAGGGGCTGGAGTGAGAGTGACAAGGATGGTGCGCGGAGCCTCACGTAAGGTCGCTTTTTTCGCGTTCAGGGCAGCGCACGGGACCCGGCCCAGAGCTAGGGAGGGCAGATGCGGGATGAGAAACACAGGTTCTAATCCCTGGCGCCACCTTATGGTGCATGGCGGGTCAAGGCAGAGGCCCAGGGGGACTGATGGGAGGCTGCCGCGTGGGAGATAGGGGTACCTAACTGGCGTCCCTTCTCAAGCTGACGTCTGGCCGCAGCCGGGACTCGGCCTGCCCCCGCGGGCCCCGAGAAGGCTCCCCTGCTGCACCCTTTGTCCCGGCTGTCTCCCCACCCCCCACTCGCCGTCTGCTCCAGCTGGCAGTACTCAGGGGCGCTTAGCGCCGGCTCCCTTGGCCTCGGGCTCGCAACCCGGGGGGCCAGCAAGTGACTCGTGCGCTAAACCGGGCTCAGAGGTTGGACGCGTCTGGGCCTCGCCGCCCGCCCCGCATTCGCGCACCGCTAGCACCCCCTCTATGAAATCAACAAGCTCTTGCGCCCCCAAACCCAGGCTCCTGGTGGTTGGGAGGGGGACCTGCCTTGGACTGCGGCCGGAGCCTTCAGATCCCGTGGGAAACCAGGGCAATTCTACGAGGGTGGGAGGGGGAGGGCCGCGGGTCCGAGGGGAAGGTGGCCTGGCGCGGAGTCGCTTCCTCCACCCCTCACCCCGCCCCGCCCCGCCCCGCCGAGACCGAGTCCTCCGCACCCCATAGGCAGAGGCGACCCTCCCCGCCTCCCCGCCTGCTCCGCTCTCGCCCCGCCTCGGCTCACTTCAAAAGTTTATTCGGGCCAGGACGCGGGGCCTAGCGAGCCATGGCTGTCTGCGTCGGGATGCTGCGCCTCGGGAGGCTGTGCGCCGGGAGCCCGGGGGTGCTGGGGGCCCGGGCCGTCCTCTCCCGTGGTTGGCAGGAAGCGAGGTGGCAGGGCGTCCGTCCCCTCAGGTATGCGGCCCGGGGAAGAGAGAGGACGGGCCAGTTCCCCGAGGGGGGGTCTTGGGGGTCCTGCAGAGCTTCGCTGGGGGCCGATCCCTCTTGGGCTGGGAGGCCCGCGGCTGCCACACCTCTGGATGGCTCCCGCTGGGGAGTCGGTACCCCGCGTCTAGCACCTAGGCAACAGGAAATGCTGGCCTGGCCCGCACAGATTGGGGCTGCGGCTGGGGGCTGGCAGTGACCCTGCGCTGAGTGCGGGTTCTGGTCTAGGACTCTAGATTCTTCCCTTCATGGGAACACAGAGGGCCAGGAGTGTGGGCCTTTAGCAGTCTAGTTTGAGGGGGAGGGGCAGAGGCAAGGCCTGGGCTCTGTCCCCAGGACACTGCCTCTGAGCTGGATAAACTTCAGGGATGAACTTGGGGATCTTCAGCCCTGTCTTGCCCATTTCCAGGCCACTAAGCTCAGCAGTCTCCCCTCTCCTCACCAGCTGCTGACAAACACTGCTTTTGCTCCTTGCTACCTACTGGGCCTGTTTTCTTCTGTCCTCAGTGCAAAGGGTGGGATGGGGGCCGGCTGGCGGAGGATGCCTTCCCAGCAGCTTGGCTGCCTCTATAGCGGTATAATAAGTAAGGCTGCCTTCCTGTAAGTTTGCAAATATGAAAGTGTGTTGGTTGAGCAGGGCTGAACTCCCTCTGATGTTTTCAGTGGTGGTTGTTATCTTCAGCACCCAGCAGAGGGGAGGCCTGCGCACCACTGAGCCTGCCCTGACGCACAGCTGGGCCAGGTACTAAGTCTGGGGTCAGGACATGGTTTTTGGACACCAGGTGAGGTGTGGGCCTGGGCACGGAAAAGCGAGGAGAAGCCAAAGAGACTTCTCAAATGAGAAAACTGTTTGGTTAAAAAAAAATAATAAATTGGTTGTGGGGAGTTGGCGAGAGATGCAAACTCCTCTTTTGGCTAGAACTCCAAGATCGCGAAGTTTTGAACTTGCTGGTTCCTGAAAACTAGAAAGCATGCAATGCTTTAAGATTGCTGTGCCTAGTTTTCTGGGAAAATCCAATGGCTGAAGGCTGATCAGTAGATGGGATTCTGATGAAGAGAGCTGGGTTCTCTTCTAGCTCTGTCACTTGCTACTTCCCAGTGCCTCCTAGGCAAGCTCCGCCATTGCTACCCCCTAGCCTCCAAGCCCTACCTCTGGACTCCTGGAGGCCCCCTTAGACTGTGAGGGCTCTAAGGAAAGTTACCCCCAAAAGTGTACATGTTTCATGATGCTAAATCTGGCTACCTCTGGCCACATGGCAACATGCCTGAACTTTGACTTCTTTGTGTAGAAACAAAACAGGTTCCTTACCTGCTACAGGCCTGCAACCTCATAATAGGGGCAGCAGGCTTCAGAGAAAGTCTGGCTCTGTGTCAGGAAGAGATCCATATGTCCAGAGAGATAAGATTTCCTGAGCATTTGGCGTAATTCCTTCCATTTCTTGTGCTTGAACCGTTACCTGCTGACTATGGTAGTTTGGCCTCATGTCGCTCCTACTTTCCCCTTCAGAAACCCTCAAGAATCTCAAGCATTCAACAGACATTCCCCAGAACATATGTCGTGTCAAGCACCTGGTGGGTGCTGTGGTTATAGAAGCCATAGAACCCAGTCCTCCAGGACTTTGTAGTCTAGTGGGGAAAAGATGAGTCAAGGTGGTCGCTACTCAGTGTTCCAAGTGCTATGGTGTGGAAAGCTCCTGGACTTCTGTCCTCTGCTCTTTCTGATCTGGTCACATATAGCCTGCTTTCCTGCTGCCCAACACCCCAGGCCTGTTATTTGTCAGATCCCCAGTTTTGCCTGTTAGGAAAGAGCAAGAACTTTGAAGCCAGACTGCCTTGGGTCACAGCCCTGGCTCCTCCAGCTACTCGATGCATGACCTTAAGTACCTTACCTTGCCTCTGAGCCTGGTGAGTGTCACTAATGCTACCTGCTTGCTAGATTGACAGAGGCTTGTTCTTCTCGGCCTTTCCTTTTGGGCAGGACTGTTCCCTGAGAACCTTCAAATGGTGTCTGGGTAGGACTTACTGCTGATCTGAAAGTGGGAGAGGATCCTCTCCTCAGTGGCCTCTTTCTTGCACCTGGTTCTCTATCTTGGCCAGTTGCCAAGATGGTAGCCTCTGCCCAGCCATAAGTCCAGTCCTTTGATCTGCTGGACACTCCCCTCTCCATCAAAGTCACGGCTGTCCAGAGCCTTTTTCCCCAGAAGGAAAGAAGCTGTCCGTTGCTCTCCAGGTGTCCTGAACCACCAACTCCTTCCCCTTGGCCACACTTCCCTTTCCCCAAGGAAGGTGGATGGGCTAGTCTGGGGCTTCAGGGAGCCTTGGAGTGGGGAATCCAATGCTGACTCCTTGATGAACCTGAGATGAGCAGGCTTCCTCCAGACCTCTAAAGCTGGCCTGGGACTGCCTGCGAGGCAGCTACATCCAGGGTGTTGGGAGCACTTGAAGCTGTGAAAGACAGAGAGAACAGTGGCTTAAGCCCCTCAGAATTGGATGTGATGCTCAGAGCTGGGGATCCAGTGACTAGATGCTGATGGTGGGGGCTGAGGGGTGAGTGGGCTTTATGGACCACCCTCCAGGGGGATGGCTGTAATCAGGTGGGACCAGTATCGGAAACTCTAAAATGGTGTCTCTATATGTGAAGATTGTATTAAGCCAGGAAGTATTTTGGGTGGAAACTAATCAACAAAAAATAGACTCTTCCTTTAATCCCCCAAAGATGATTAATAAGTGATTTGGTAATGATATCCCTACACATTACATGGAGGATCCTCCAGTCTAAACGTAACACTAGAAAATAAACCATAAACTTGGACGTTGTATTCAGTGAATGGTACAAATTGGTATTAGTTACCTTTCCTGCCTTGCACATAATAGGCGTGCAATCTACTGTGGAGGGTGCAGTGGGGGATACAAAGATGGATGAATTTGTTTTCACTGAGTTCTTTGCCTAAAAAGGATCTACAGGGGAAGACTGTAGACTCACCAATTCAAAGCAGAAAGGGTGTTGTACCGTGGAGAATGTGAATCAAAGCAGGGAAGAATCTGATTGGTGGGAGTGGGATTAGAGAAGACTCCCTGAAGAGGCTGGGGTTTGAGCCTGATCTGAAGTATGAAGCCTATATTTGTACAAAATCTTGCTTGTGCTTGAATTCTTTTGAACCCTTTAGGATGGTATGAAGCCCTCCTAATCTCCCCCATTATTTTATTTATTCAGTCTGTAGACAAAAACTTTGGAGCCAGACAGTCTGGGTTCAAATGAACCACTTTTTAGCTAATAGCTTTGGGACTAAGTTGAACTTGACTTTTCTCATGTGTAAATTGTGTTGTGAGGGTTGTTAAAGGAGGTCACACAAGAAAATTCTTAACCCACAGCCTGATGCCCAGGAAATTTTCAACCCATTTTAATAATGAGCTATTATGTGAGTAGTGCTTGTGTAACAATGGCTTTGCACATTCCTGCCGTGACCCCAAGCCCTACATTTTAGTAGCCTTGTCTGGAGAGTAGGAGGGAGACAGTTCCAGCAGGGGCAATTGCCTGAACTCAGCTGGGCCTGGAGGTATCGACAGGCCTGTGCTTATACTGACTGTTGACATAAAGGGCTGCTTTTTTTTTTTTTTTTTTTTTTGCTGATCGTATAGTGAACGAACCAAAGTACAGCATGTAATTTCATCTCTTAAGTGGGCCTTGCTAGAGGAGTGTCCTGATAAATGACAGGTACCAACAATTCTGCCAGGTGCCTCTCCCTTGGGAAATAAACAGGTTATGTTTCTAGCTTAGGAATCATGTTTTGTGAATCTCGTTGGCATGAGTGTGTTTCTCCATTTGGGAGTCAGATGACAGGAAAGCTAGTCCCAGCCCTACCACTTCTAACTCAGTAGGGCTTTAGGGTAAGTCATTCAACCTCTCTGGACCTTGGTTTCTTTGTAGAATAGGCCACTCCGCTGAGAAGCACTCTGCATTTCTGTAGACATTCTGTGATTCCTAAGGAGGCTGGGTTTTGAGCCTGATTCCTGAATCCCAGAGGGCTGTGGTTGAAGGATGAGGCCTTCATACTTATATGGAGTCTGACTGTACTTGAACATTTATTAACTCCTCCTAACCTTCCCACACTCTGTCTTCTCTCTAGTCCTCTGTGAGTAAACAGAGAACATCGAGGGTTTTGACCCTCAGGCGCAAGTGCTCAGAATCACCCTCTACCCCTGACTCCTGTGTGCTTTCCCCAGGGGCTCAAGTGGCCCAAGGGAAAACCTGCAGCATGGATGCCTGCCAACCCCAAGTATTTCATGCTTTCAGAAATGTCCTCTGTCTTCTAGAGTTTGCTAGACTCAAATAATTATTTCTTGCATACTTTCTCTACATACACACAAACACGCATACACCAGTGGTTTTGAGATGCTAAAAATGGAAGCTTCCACCAATATAGAGTATCTTGCTTGAATCTTTATTGTAGCTCTCCCCACTGGGGAGCTCTTTGTCGTTGTGTCCTTTTTAGGTTGTAGACTCCTTCAGGAAGGTTATGTTGCATGGTGGAAAGATCATGGGGCTTAATGGTATAATTACATATACTAAAATGCACAAATCTTGAGCCAGCCCTGATGGCCTAGTGGTTAAAGGTTGGCGTGCTCTGCTTCGGCAGCCCGGGTTTGGTTCCCGGGCGTGGAACCACGCCACTCATCTGTCAGTAGCCGTGCTGTGGTGGTGGCTCACATGGAAGAACCAGAAGGACTTACAACTAGAGTATACAACTATGTACTGGGGCTTTGGGGAGGAAAAATAAAAGAGAGAGATGAAGATTGGCAACAGATGTTAGCTCAGGGCAAATCTTTCCCACGGAAAAAAAGCACCTAATTATCTCTTAAAAAAAATAAATAAAAAATGCACAAATCTTAAGTCTATAGTTTGATAAATTTTAACAAATATATACAGCCCGTTACTCAACATCTCAACAGATAGAACTTGTCCATCACTC